AAAAAGATCTTGAAATACAAAGGGACAGAAATTTGAATAACACAATACTATTCTGCAACTATCAGAAAATGCAGGAGGGTATGCAATGTGTTCTGAAGAGCAATTGAGCTCAGGATGCAGTCCAAGGTGACCTATCCTGAAAATCTGAGCTTAAACATAAATGAAAAAAAAAAAAGAAAGAAAGAAAGAAAGACATTCAATAAAAGAGCCATTTGAAACATTCTTAGAAAGAAAACCAGACCTGAAGAGATTATTGCTTCTTGAACATCCCAGACGACAGAAATACAGTGGGAAAAAATGCAGCAGCCAAGGACCACAACAGCAAAAGAGTAATGGCAGAGAGACCAGCAAGAGAGTTCTTTTTAAATATACACAAGGAGACAGAGGTGAAGGCAGAAGTCAGGTGGAAGCAAGAGTGAAGGGGCAGGTCTGGGGCATTATGGACAGAACCTTGTAACATCCTGCCTACGGGCAAATCAATGTTTTTCATGGGATTGCATTACAAAGTGCAAGTGTGCATAAAAGGGAGGAGGGGGATAGAGGGAAGTATGTGATGTGCCCAGGTTAAATCAAAGGCTTTCAATGATGGAAAAAGTGATCTTTGTCATCTCTCAGGAAGAGAAGAGTCTGGAAAGGAGTGGATGAAGAGGGGGAAAAGATAGAAAAGGAGGGTGGTGAGACCTTGCTTTGGTAGATGGAGGAGGTTTCACTGATGAATGCTCTAATGGATGAAGAGAGGCATTCTGTGAAAAGAGATGGGGATCTTGTGTTGGGTATCGTCTGGAGGATTCGTATTTGAAAAGATTCATCCTCTCTCAGGAGGGGGAGAGTTGGAACTCCTGGGGTCAACTGGCACCTGGGGGAGGGGGAGGACATGGACCCATAGAGGAGGCGTTCAGGCAAATAGTGAAAGAAGGTAAGCTTTGAGGGAAAGGGTCCTGACATAGGGCACTGTCTTCTCTGTCGCCAGCAGGAATAGGAATTGTTCTAGGCATGAGGCACAATAGAAAAGGGGAATCTAAGAGGCAAGCTCTACAAGGCAGTGGTATAAATTACCACTAGAGGGCAGAGCCCAGAATGAATACCTCAAAAGTTTTAACTGCATTGGGAATACAGAGACTAGAGAGGGGCTGGATAATTAAAGAGGTCATGAACCAGAGAATGAGGGACTCGAGGAAACAGAAAGACATGATAGATAATGAAGAGAAGAGGAACCCTGTCTGGAAAAGGACACAAAAAAATGAAATTTATTAAAAAAAAAAACTAATGAACAAGACTAGTTGAAGTTGAAGAGGGGGAGGGGGATGGGGATTTATTTACCTAACAGGAATAAGAGTGGAAGAATTAAAGAAATATATTAATAAAACTCTAAAAGAAAAGGAGTAACAAAGAAGAGGGGGCATCAGGGATGAGAATAGAGATAGTGGGAATAGGATCACCTTAAAAAGATTAAGATAAAACAATTAAAGAGACATAATGCTGTATCTACAGCAGGGGGAGGGGATAAGTATAACTTTAAAGGTGAATGGATTAAACAATACAATAAAATGAGAAAGTGGCAGATTGGATAAGAAAAATAGAATCATGTTGCTTACAAGAAACTCATATGAAAAACAAAGACATAGCCAAAATAAAATGGAGGGGATGGAAAAATAATTTACTTATGCATCAAGTGAATCAAAAAAAAAAAAGCACTAGTTGCAATCATGCTGACAAAACAAAAACAAACAATATTTTTAAAAAAGGATAAATAAAGAAACTACATAATGTTGAAAGGAGCCATAGACAGGAAACCAATATCAGTAATAAACTTTAAAACTGAGATACAGGAAGAAATAGATAGTAACACAATAATGCCAGGAGATTTCAACATCCCTCTCAGTTTTGGATATATCTAACAGAAAGATAAACAAAAGAAAAAAAATATAGGACTGAATAAGTTGCTGGGGAAACTAGGGGTAAAAGACTTATGACATCTAAATGGGGCTGCAAAAGTATACATACATACATATATATACACACACACATATATATATATTTCTCAGCACTACATGGAACTTTTGCAAAAATTTACCATCTAGTAGGGCATAGAGATATTTTAAACAAATGTAAAAAGTCAGAAATGTAAATACATACTCTTTACAGACCATCATGTAATAAAAATAGTCACATGGGTTCAGGGACCACATGGAGACTTAACAATGAGATCCTAAGTAATGAATGATTCAAAGAACAAATCATAATTATTTGAAGGAAATGATAATGATGAAACAGCATATAAAAATTCCTGGGATGCAGCCAAAGCAGTCTCCAGGGGAAAAATTATATCCCTATAAGCATACATTAACAAAATGGAAAAAGAGAGGATTAATGGACTGAATATTCATTTTAAAATGTTGGAAAGCCAACAAATAAACCTAAAATAAAGGGAGAGATATTAAAAATTATATAAAAATAGATAAATTGGAAACAAAGACCTATAAAGTAATAAATAAAATTAAAGGCTGGTTCTTTGAAAAGACTAATAATATCAACAAGTCTTTTAGCTAATTTGATTAAAAGGAAGAGGGCAAGTGAACAAAGATGATATCACAACAAAAGAAATAAAGAGAAGGAAGAGAAGAAATAGAATAATCAGATGCTATTATGCACAGTTATATGCTAACAAAGTTGAGAACACAAAAGAAATGGGGAGATACTGTCAAAAGTAGAAAATTCCCAAACTACCAGATCAGATAGAGATCTTAACTAACCCAATCTCAGAAAAGGAAAGGGAATACCAAAGAAAAGAACTCTGGTCCTGATGGATTCACAGGACAATTCTATCAAATTTTTAAAGAAAAATTAGTACTCATACTTCACAAATTATCCTAAAAAAATTTTAAGAAAGAAAGCACCCTACTAGAATCCTTTTGAAATAAATACAGTCCTGATACATAAACACCAGGGAAAGATATAACACAAAAGGAAAACTATAGGTCAACATCTTGATTCAAAAATTTTAAACAAAATTCTGTCAGACTACAGCAATTTATCCAAGAAATCATTCATTATAGCCTACTGTGATATATACTGGGAATGCAAGGATGATTCAATATTAGGAAAACAACATAATTAAGCATATTAAAAACCAAATCGTCCAAAAACACATGATTATATCAGTAGATACAGAAAAGCCTTTAACAGAGTACAGCAATCTTTTATGATAAGAACCCCATACAGTATAGATATGAAGAATCCTTTTTAAAAAATAAAAATAAAAAGATCTATCTAAAACCAAGTATAAGCATTATATGCAATGGGAATACACTACAATCTTTTCCTAAAGAAAATGAGAGTAAAGCAACTCCCCACTATTATTTGATATTGTTCTGGAAATGCTAGCTATAGCAACAAGAAAGAAATTAAAATCATAAAGATAGGAAAGGAAGGGATAAAATTATCTCTATTTGCTGATGATATGATGGTATACTTGTAAAATCCTGGAGAATCAACAAAGATACTAATTGAGACAATTAATAGCCTCGACAAAGTTGCAGGCTGCAAAATAAATCTTCCAAAATCAACAGCCTTTCTATATAACAATAACAAAACACAAAAAGCAAGAATGGAAAGAGAAATTTCATTCCAAATAACTATAAAAATGTACAAAATATCTGGAGATCAACCTCCCAAAGTACACACAAGACTTGTACAAAGAAATGCTTTCTGATCTCATCTTTTTACAATTTGAATCTGAGCTCTTTAAATCTCAGAGATCTTCAGTTATGTTGATAGAATTCTGGTCTGGCTTTGAGCCAAGCATTGTGTTAATCAGTCAGATACAAACATAACAAAGCAAGACATTCCCTGCCTTCAACCAGCTTACCTTTTGATAGGGAAGACAACACAAACAGAAGCTAGAAAGCATTATAAAGGCAAGAAAAACGTCAGGTCTTTTGACATCCAGCCCAACATTATTTCTACTATAAATACAACTAGTAATATTTTTGCTTGTGTTTCTAGACTAATCTGCGTATGGATACAGTTTGGGTGATCTGCAATCTTAAGAGGGCTTAATAAGGCATAGAACTTGGTATCAGGAGAGAACTCTAGTTTCATTCCTAAGCTCTGAAATTTAACTAGATGTGTAGCCCTGGACAAATAGTTTCATTTCTCAGGGTCTCCATTCCTTCATCCATTAAATGAAAATAATGATACCTATCCTATTCAATTCACGAGGTTATTCTAAGCAAAATACTTTCTAAACCTTAAAGTGCTACAAAAATGTAAGCTAATATCATTCATATATTGCTATGTAAGCTAGTGTCATTTATATATTGCTAAATTTAATGTTGTTATACGTTGTTAAGTCATTTTAGTTCTCTTTGTGACCCCATTTGGACTTTTCTTGCAAAGATACCAGAGTGGTTTGCCATTTCCTTCTCCAGTTCATTTTACAGATGAAGAAACTGAGGCAAACAAGGTTAAGTGACTGGCCCAGGGTCACACAGCTAACAAGTGTCTGAAGTCACATTTGAACTCAGGTCTTCCTGACTCCAGAGCCACTGCTCTATCCACTGCGCCATCTAGTGGTCATGCTATATTTAATATACCCCAACAAAGAAAGAGGTCTCACATTTTCCCTCCTTCACTTGAGCCACTGTGATCTGGGATCCAAATTCATTTTAGGTCAGAGAACATGCTAAGGTTGGAGTTTGGTGATGCTATATTAGATCACCACTGCCATCACCACCACTATCCCTACCCTACCCATCATCACCGCCATTGAGAGAGAGGCAATGTGGTATAGCAACTCCCTAGTATATTAAGTCATGTAAGAGTTTGGGATGGGAAGTCTCCATGCTAATGATAAGTCACTGGTGTTTTTAATAGTTGAGTAATACTAATAGTAATTGATGTGTTTAGAAAGTTTAGAAAGTACTCTGTGATTTATAGAATATTTGACATGTATATGTCAATGAGATACATTTCCAGATCTTTTTTCTTCTCTACCTCAGGAAACTACCTGGCAGAACTGTCTATGCCCAGATGCACAATGAAAAGGAACAAGAGATGACCAGCCCAGTCAACCACAGCGAGGATACACAGAACATCATCCAGGGTGAGGAGTTTATAGATGATGATGTGGATTCCCAAACCCTAGGTAACACCAGAGGTAACTTCACCTTCCTTTATTCACCTTTCGCTGAGTACAAAATAATTTTTTCCCTTTAAAAACTCTCTTGGGGTGGGAAACCAAGCACCCCTTCCTACATTTTAACCCTTCCTCAATTTTTTACTCAGCTGCTAGAGGTTGATATCAATAGAACATGTTGACCCTTGACCATTTTTGCTAGGGGAAGGGAGAAGATATCAGTTTCATGACTTAGACACCTGATAACACCCCACACGTGGGAAGCGAAGAAAGTCACATGACCACAGCAGGACTATGAGAAGGAGACAAAAGCATATCTGCCAGCAGACAATCTTGTAGCTGCTTTGGCAAGTAGACAAGTTTTAAGGATCTCAGGATTTCGACATGGAAGGAACCTTAGAAATCAGCTGACCCAGCCTACCCATTTTACAGATAATAAAGCCAAGGATTGTAGAATGGGGAATGTCTTGCCCCATGGATTAAAAAAATAGCAGAACCAGGTCTTCTCCCTCAAAATCCAGGGCTCTTTCTACTACCCAGCTTCACATCATGAAAGGTGTTCAAGTGAAGGCTGGTGAACCACTTGTTATCCATCATTCAATGAGCCCCTGCCCTCAAGGAACTTCCATTCTATCAGATTTCCTGCTCAGGGAGGAATCAAACTAGACATCTGAAGCACCTTGCAATTCTAACCTTTTGTGTTTCTACTGACATCAGAATTTCCTACATTTCTGCCAAATGTATAGACATAGAAATTTCCTGAAATGCACCCATGCAGAAGACCCAAAAGCTCAACAACAGTAAATCAGTTTCCATTTCAAATGCATTTTACACACCTTATTTCACCGGAGCTTCATGGCAGCCCTATAAGAAAGAGTAAGCATTATTCCCATTTATAATGAGGAAATTGAGGCCCCAAATGAAGATGAAGAAACATTTTGTCTGATGGCCCCATTTAACAGATAAGAAAATTGAGGCTCAACACAGTTAAATGACTCACCCCAAGAAGGTCACACAGCTAGTAACAAGGGAAATGGTGACTGGAATTTAGGTTTCTGATTCCTATCGAGTGCTCTTTCCACTATGCCAAACTCGTTTCTTGAGCGATGACAACAACAAACTAGATAACCCATTATCTTGTTCTTCCTGGCAAACTTCCTACAAAGACCATAAATTGTAAATCCTAAGATTCAGAAAAAAGGGAGACCTTATAAATTCATCAGTTCTGATCCACTCACTTTATAGATAGAGACTGATGCTCACAAGTCCTGATGAAAATTCCATTCACCCTACAAGTGGGAAATGGGCTATTTTTTCCAGTCCTTTTTCCTGTGTCTCATTCTTCCTCCACCCCCTCTGGCTGACCCATATCCAAAGAATTCCAGGTTAAATTCTGTCCAGTTCATTATATGGAAATTAATCCATTTAAATGCTGGTTCCAAGGACCATTTGTTGATTTCCCCACCAAATGGCCCTTAAGGATTCATTCTTCCCTTTAAGCATCCATGCATTGGATATGGCCATTCTGTTGGCAAGGACATCTGGGCAGTGGGGTGTAGAGGGAAGAACATTGGGCTGGGAGCCAGAAGGTTTGAATTTGATCCTAGGTTCTGCCATTTTCTGGCTGTATGACCTTGGATAAGCCACTGAACCTATCTGAGCTTCCGATTCCTCACCCAAAATAAGGGGATACGATATTTGTACCACCTTATGATGAGAAAAATACTTTATAAGCTTTGAAACTCTATATGAAGGTGAGGTATTATTCTAATGGCCCTACTAGCTCTAGCAGTCTGTACAGTGTAAGGTGCCTCCCGGTCCCAACAATTTTTCTATAATGTATTATTGTATATATAATATATATATATAGTATATAAAATATAATGTACTGTAATGCCTTCTATAATTGAGGTTCTTAACCATTTTTGGTGTCATGGGCCCCTTTAGTAGGCTGGTGAAGCCTATGGATCCCTTCTGAGAAGCTTTTCAAAAGCATAATGTACATAGGATTTCAAAGAAACCAATTATATTAAAATAAAGATCTCATTTTGTTTTCATCTAAGTTCACGGACCCCATGAAATCTAAGCCCAAGTCTGTGGATGCCAGGTCAAAAGCAAACCAAACCAAAACACATATTCTATTGTCTTGATTCTAAAACTTCATGTTCTGAGGTCCCTTCTAGCCCTCCTCCAGGTCATAGGGTACCAAAGCTGGAAGGGACCTTGGAGATCCAATCTAATTCCCTTACTGTACAGAGAAAGAAACTGAAGCCCTATAGAGGAAAAGAACTGGTTCAAGGTCACAAAGAGACTTAATAGTCAAGCAAGGACTTGAATTCTGACTTCTGATTCCCAGAGAAATGCATGTTTCCTTCCTCTGTCCAGTGTTGTTCCCGCATATTAGGTCTGGAAGAAATTGACAAAGAGGATTTTACCCCTAATTAATTGACCTGTTCTACCAGTACTGACCAATGGAACATGCTTGGGGCCCCACAAGAGCCTGTTTCTAAGAGCTTTCCTAAAACAATCTAATATTTAGTGCTCAAAGGATTTTGACAGTCCATGACAAAACAGGGGTGAAAGGACAGTCTCCCCACCTCATTTTTGATACTCTGAGCTATAGTAGCCGCTACAACTGTTCCAAAGTCCACCTGACCTCCAGAATCTCACTTTCTTTTTTCACTCCCTTTCTTTCTTGGTTGTTATGATCTGGAGCATCTCTGTAAACTCCATTCTTTGCATAGGGGAAGACAGGCTCTTGAGCTAGGAAGAAAAAAGGAACCGGTGGAGTTCCTAATACAATGTTGGCTTATGTAAGGTGGTGAGCTAACTCAGGTCTCTGCCCAGAAAATTCCTGCTACTGAAAAAATGAGAGAGAATCACAGACCTTAGAAGTGGAAGGGGCCTCAAGACAAGTGTTACCCCAGAATGGAGTTAGCTTGAAGATCTCCAAGGAGAGGTCAATTTCTCTACTATGTAGGGGGGTAGATTCTTTGGGGGATTAAACGGGGGCTAAGGTCTCTTACTACTGTGAAATTCGGTGAGCCTATGAAGCCATCTGGTCCTGCCTTCAAGCAAGAAAGGCATTATTACTCCTCTCCTTTTATAGATGAAGCAGCCGAGGCTCCAAGTTCAGGGCCATGTCCAAGACCACACAGACAGTGGGGGGGAGGGGGACGACAATCACCCACACACCCAACCTCCTAGTAGTTATTTTCCTCTAGAACTTAAATTCTTCAGATCATAGAATTTTAGAGCTGGGAGGGACCGTCAAGATCCTAGTCCGCCTTTCTGATTTTACGAAACTTGGCCAGGCTAGAAAATGGCAGACTCGTTCGACAAGTTTTCTATTGTTCTCTTTCCTCTTGTAACTTTGGACTCTTCACAGCAGCAGTCTTCCAGATTCACGCAGACATTTATTCTATTTTCTATATATGTTATGTTGCCTCCTTTCTCGCCACCCCCCACCTTGGGACCTCTCCACGCCCTTGCCTTGCAGTGACCTCTTCTGAGAGAGGGGGAAGCTTGAGCAGCCACCGAATCCCCTTATTGCCGATGCCAGTCACTGCCCGGTCACAGGTCAGTGGCATGTTGGACGGAGGCTTCCCGTCCCGCTCTTCCCCTTCACCTGCTCCCTTTAAGAGACAAGGCACCAAGAGCCGTCTTAGGCAGTCACTGGAATAGGAACGTTAGGGACCCACCACAGATTCTCTACAATCTTTAAGAACCCTCCCCCCCAAGCCCAAGAACACAGTAGGTACAACCATGTAGCCACTCCACATTCACCTGAGCTCGTTTGCTAATGCCATTGTCTCTGTGCGTCACCCCTTGGGTTGGCCCTGCTGAAATGAGCGTGCTAACCCACATATCTGTGCCGTATTTTGTGTCTTCCTAGGTAATCACTCAGGCGTGGTTCTGAGCATCAACTCTCGAGAGATGCACAGCTACCTGGTTAGCTGATGTTTGCAGCTGGACACAAACATGGAAAACTCTTCTCTGTCTTGTTTCATTTTCCCCTCCCTCCCTCCATCCCCACCCTGGGGAGGTCACAGAATGGCAAGCATGGCTGTAACTGGTGTTGGAAAGGGATATCCCTGAAAAAGATGCCCAGAAGAGTGGTCATTGCTGATGGTCCCCATTTGAAACAGGACACATCTCACCTCATATTCACTGGATGGACTCCAAGCCTGGACCAACTCAAACGCAAACTTTGAGAGCAGATAGATGCAGCCCATGACGCTCCCCAGATTCCATGCTCCTGATGTTCACTTCCCCCCAATATTTGTGTATTTGTTCTAATATATTTTATGCCTAATGACCCTTACCATTGGCAGGTAGTCTCAAAGGCCTAATGGAAATGTCTAGCAGGCAGAGGAAAGGACCAGAAAGAGACCTTGCTAAGGGTAGTGAAATCCCTCCCTGCTAGTTTGACATTCAGAGTACCTAAGAGAAAACTTGAGTCCTCCTGCAATCCCACCTTGGCTAGCTGCTTCTTCCTCACCAACTCCATCCTAAAATAGTGAATTTCCTTAAACTCTTGGGACTTCTTGCTCTTAAGTAGGGAAATAAGCTCCAGTAGAAGTCCAGACATTAACAACTCCCAATTATCCTATACTTTCAAATTTCCAAAGTGCTTTCTCCCAATAATCCCCTAACATAAAACATGTGAATGTGAGTATCCCCATTTTATAGATGAAGAAACTGGGGCTCAGACAGATATCACTTGCTCAAGCTCTCATAGCTAGTAAGATTCAGAATCAGGACTTGAACCCAAATCTCTGGAGTCCAGGTCCAGTGCTTTTTTTTTTTTTCACTATACCACCCCTAGTATCAAAGGGGTAGCTAGGTGGCACAATGGATAGAGCACCAACCCTGCAGTCACGAAGACCTGAGTTCAAATCTGGCCTCAGATACTTACTACCTAAGTAACCCTGGGCAAGTCACTTAATACTGTTTACCTCAGTTTCCTCATCTGTAAAATGAGCTGGAGAAGGAAATGGCAAACCACTCTAGTATTTTTGCCAAGAAAACTCCAAATGGAGTCACAAGGAGTAGAACATGAATAAAATGACTAAACAAAAAAATAAACAAAACCCCACTGTAGTAACATAATATTTAGAACTCACTAGGTCCTCAAGAGATAACTTAGTCCAACCGCTAATTGTACAGATGAAGAAAATGAAAGCCAGGGAAGGGAGGTGACTTTCTAGCAAGCGTCAGAACTAAGACTTCAAGGTAGGTCTCCTATCTCCCAGGTCAAGAGTTACCTTCCCCATACATCTACCTGTTATCAACCACCCACATGGCTATAGCAATTTGTTATGAAGGTTTACAAAGTGCTTTTCCCAGGTCCTGTTGTCCTAAAGGATGGGGGAAGCTGAACACCCGACCAGGCTGAGGAAACTCTTTGCTTCCCGGGCACTGCAGCTCAGTATCCAGTGTAAGCAGCCCCAGATAGCATCCCAGCCCCACCAGCCATGGCCACTAAGGGTTCCCCCCAGCCCCTTCTTCTCTCATCACCTTTCCTCTTTCCTCTTTTTAAAAGTCAGATAATGTAAATACTTCTTTAAGTAGCTTTTGGGGTATTTTTTTTTAACTTTCTATTTTTATGGTAGGGCCACCCAGGCACCTAAGCTTGAGCTTAGCCCTCCTCCCCAACCCCCTATATTTGTCAAAGCAGCAGCGGATAAAAATAATAATAACAATAACAATAGTAACTCACATTTCTGTAGGGCTTTAAGGTTTACAAAGCACTTTCCGCACAGCAACCCAGTGAGGTAGTCAGTATAGGCTTAGAAGGATCCCATTTTACAAATGAGGAAACTGAGGCTTTGAGGGGTTATATTGTCTTGCCCAGGGTCACACTGCTAGTAAATATTTGATCAGGGATGCTAAGACAGGTCTCTTCTGAGAACAAGTCCAGTGCTCTTTCCACTCTACCACAGATACTCTCTCTCTCGGGATTCTAGAGGTGCTCTTCCTAATGCCTAAGACAATTATTTGGGCCTCGTCCTGTTGCAGCCTTTCCTCTAAAAGCTACAGCTGACCAGCCTCTTCCTACAGGGGCCGCTAAGACCACGGGACAGAATGTGCTATCCAGACTGCTCTTCCTCCCTACAACCACAGGGTGGCACTCTTTCTCCATGCTACCCCCTCCCAGTAATTTTTCTATAAGGCGAGATAGTGGGTCTTTTAAAGGAACCCACCTCTCAAAGATACTGAAGCAGTTTAGTATCTGGGTGGATATGGCTAAACTTCAGTAGCCCGGGAAGTTAAGAAGCCACAAGTCATGTGACAACATGGCACTGTTACTTAGAATTAGAGACACTAACGCAACAAGAAAATGGGGGCAGTCAAGAGGCATTAAGCACTTACCACGTGTCCATCACTGTGCTAAGCATTGAAGACACAAAGAAAGGCAAACAGTCCCTGCCGTCAAGGAGCTCGCGATCAAATGGAGACATGCAAATATCTATGTACAAACAAAGTATATTAAAAACAATTTGTGCATGTGGATAATGTCCCAGGGAAGGCACTAGCATTCAGGGGGTAGTACTAGGAAAGCCTTGCAGAAGGTAGGATGTTAGCAGAGACTTGAAGGATGCCACATAAACCAGGAAATAGAAAGGAGAGAGAGAATTTGACGTTAGGTCTTCACAAAATAATGGAATTCTAGATCTGAAAGGGACCGTCTCTAGAAATCACCCAGTACTTGTGATCGTTCTGGACCTGAGATTTCATGGGTAATTCCTGGTGAGGAAATTCCTTCTGCCGATGCAGATCAGCAATAGCTCTGCAAACTGTGGACTTAGAAAGTTGCCTAGGGCCCTGAAAGGCTAGCCAAAAGGTGAAGCAAGTAGCAAAGTTAGGAAATGATCTAGAATTCAGTCAAGTCTTCTGATTCTAGGGCTCACTCTCCATCCATCCTCCAACAAAGGGGAAGTTATCAAGCCTTGCTTGAAAATATCAAGCAAGAAAATGCTTATCTGAATTGAAATGCTTTAGAAGTCCTCTTGTATCTCTTATGAACAGTTCTTCCATATATTATACAAAGTTCCAATGTTAGGGCTATACATTTAGAGCAGGAAATGTCCCTCAAAGATCATCTACTCCATCCACACCAGCCTGGTTTTATGGCTGAAGAAACTGAGGCCTAGGTGAATTCCTCAAAATCACACAACTTGTAAGGAGCCAGGATTTGAAACCAAACCTGTGATTCTTTCTACTGTGCCATGAAGCAGTGTGGCTTTATCCAATACACCACACTTGTGGGGCATCCTCCATTCCAGAATATGGGCACCCTTATAAAGCACAGTCAAATGGGGGAGAGTACAGAGAGTCCCCAAAAGCTTTGTGTGTAGAGTATAAGTCTTCATAGCCCCTGCTATGATTATCAGTCTGGAAAAACGAACAACTCCACCAACTTCCCTGAAATTCTCAATGTCATGAGAGGCCACTAGTGGCCCTAACTGGTATTGTTACATGATCTTAGAGTCATGAGATTTAGAACTGTAAGAAATCTTAGAGATCATCTAGTTCAACCTCTTCCCATCCCATTTCACAGAAGAAGAAACTGAGGTCCAAGAATGAGGGACTAATCTCATACAGCTAGTAAGTGGCAGATCCTCATGTCCTTTGACTCCAGTTTCTAGACTTTTTCTGTTATACTATGCTGGACCTACTTCTTTGAAAGTCTAACTTTGTTCATACTGACAGAAATTGGTAATCAGATTTCCAGTTACTGATCAATCATGGAGGCTTGAAAGGGAGTGGTAGTAGAGATAACCAGAGATTTTTCAGATGGGGAAACTGAGGCCCAGGAAAGGGAGTGACTGGCTCAAGGTCACAAAGTAGCAGAGCCAGAATTTGAATACCGAGACTTCTTACTGCAAGTCAGAAGAACTCTCACTTGCATCTCTTTTGTTTCTCTTCAAGTTGGTCTAAGTAGAGCTGATATTATTATCCTGTTTGACAGATGAGGGCCTAGAGAGAGACACAATGACTTATAAAAGGTCATGCAGCTAGTTGGTGACAGAGTGGAAAGCTAGAACCCATGTCCAAGACAGCAGAATATATAGAGTGGTATTTTTAGGGTGTTTTTTGGTTTTTTTGTTTGTTTGTTTGTTTTTGTTTTTTTCCAGAAGGACATTCACTGGGTTCTGTAGATTGACAGGAGGAGACATGGACTCTTCATACTCCTTAACTGATGTTCTGTCTATATCCATTGTATATTTCCTCTTCTATATCCCTGGCAGCTTCAAGATTCAATGATTTTTCTGAAATTTCAACTGTAATGACTTGTTCTAACAAAAAGAAAGAAAAAATCCTCTGTTATTTTCTTTGTGCTGTCATTCTATATAGTTACATACATGGAGTTAGAAAAATATCTATACATACTTTATAGATGCTTAGACATCCACTATAGATACCCCAACTCCACTATCAAAGCCAAATCACACCACAGTTGTATGTCTGCCTCCTCATGAAAGAAGAAAGCTGGGAAATTGTGATTATGATAATTAAAAAAAGAACTTTAAAATCACTGATGAGTTTCTCCACCTTGAGTTCTACGATGAATTACCCATGAACACACCATGAAAACACAATGGACTTGAATGTGTAAATATTTTAAGCAGTTTAATTAAAATAAGGCCAAACAAAACTTTGTCTCTCTTTCTTTTTAAGTGGTACTAAGTCAGGTACTAAGTCCTGTCTTTGCTTTTGAATTTTAGATTTAGAGAATCCTAGAATTCTCTGGAGCTAGAAAGGCCCTTAGAACATAGAATGTAAGAGCTAAAAGGGACCTTAAAACACAGAACATAAGAGGCAGAAGAGACCTTAGAAATTGAATGTCAGAGTTGAAAATGATCTTAGAACATATATGGAATGTGAGAGCTGGAAGGAGCTTTTAGAACATAGAAATGTATAGCTAAGAAGGGACCATTAAAAAATTAGAATGTTAGAGCTGAAAAGGAACTATAGAAAATAGGATGTTAGAGCTAAAAAGGACGTCACAACATAGAATGGAAGGCTCTCAGAATATAGATTGTCTGGGCTAAAACAAATGAACAAACAACTTAGAACATCAGAGCTGGAAGAGACACAGTAGAACATAAGATGTTCAATCCCTCATTTTGCAGAGTAGGAAACTGAGGCCCAGAGGAGTTAAAGCTAGTAAGTGATTTCTGCCTTGACTGTACCATTAGCAGTAGAAAATAACATTAAAAAAAATAATTTAGTGTTTAATTGTTTCACATAATGGGTGGTTAACAGTAACTTGATCTTTGACTTCACTGAGATAATGTGATTTCCAAGATCAAGTTACTTTAGTGCCCTGTAACTACCACCACCCCATACCCACTATCAATGTGAGAACTCCCTTTTTGAAGTGATTACGAGTATTTTTTTAAACTCTATCTTGGATAGAAACAAAGGCAGAGGCAAGTGCATCTCAGAGAGGCTGAAAGAGTTTTCATGTTCTTCCCTCCCTTTGTCTGTATCGAGGTTCAGTTGGGCACATTCTATTCTTACAGGCCATCAATGGAAGAGATTTGTACCGGAAACTAACTCCCTGCTGGATCTGCTTCTCCTGTGTGGCAGGAGCACATCGTAGAGAATCTCAGAACTGGATGTTTTAATTCAATCAGTTCCCCTTCTCTAAATGCTGAGAACTAAAGAGAAAAAAAAAATGAGACTTAACACGCTGTTCATTTGAGGTCTCTAATTTTTATCCTAGTTTCCCTAGTCTCTGCAGGGCTTCTGCCA